GGGGGACGGAGCGTTGACTTCATTAGACGAGACCTCTCCAACTTAACGTTTAGGTTCAGTGTGCCTCTAACCATTCGGTGATCGCTGCCAGTTTTCCCCCTTGCGATCACTGAGACATCACTGAACAGTTGGCGTCTGGTCGTCATAATGAAGTCAATCTCATTTTTTGTCGGACCGTCGGGGCTCGACCAGGTCCACTTCCTGTGAGGCCGCTTCTGGAAGAAAGAGTTCATTATAAAGAGTCCCTCTTTCTCCATAAAGTCGAGCCGGCCCCTTCGGTTCCGTTGCCCCACTCCAAATTTCCCTAACTTCAGCTCACCGTTTTCTCTTGTGCCTAGTTTTGCGTTGAAGTCTCCCATCAACACCGTGTAGTGGTTTTGGAGGAATGCATGGCTTTGGAAATATCCTCATACATTTCCTCCACCTCCTCATCGGGATGTGCCGAGGTAGGTGCGTAAACCTGTATGACCTTCAGCGAATACCGTTTGGTGATTCTGAGTATCAGGTACGCGACCCTCGTCGACACACTCTCAATCTTTACAACGTTGTTGACGAGAGACTTGTGGACGATAAATCCGACACCTCCTTGGGACAGATGGTCGCCCTCCCGGTGATAGAACAAGTTGCCGGATTCGAGAATCCCCGTGTCCTCCCCCTCTCTTCGGACCTCGGATAATCCTATAATATTCCAGCGCAACTTTTCTATCTCTTATTCCAGCTCCAGGATCTTCTCGTCAGTCCTCAGGGTGCGTGCGTTAAATGTTGCCAGGTCGAGTCGTCGTAGGTGGCAACCGAACCTCCACCGGAGATTCTTAGCACCCCCCTGCCCCGCTGTTACCATGGCCACCGTGCCCAGGAATAGCGGGGCCGCCGGGGACTGGGGGCCGTCTATTTGTGTAATTGTTCATGGGGGGTATATTGCCAGAGTTGCCACGCTTGGCGAGCGGGTTGGCAACCATTTCATTACAGCCCATTAATGTCTAGTGCTGTACTTATGCTTCATTCATAAAGTACTTAATACTGGGGATTTTGTCATAGTTGCCACGCACGGCACGGTCATAGTAGTATATATATATAGATTATAGTGTTAAATATATAGTTATAATTTACTCATATTTTCATTTGTTTTTATAATCGACGCGACACATGATTTACTTTTTTTTTCAGTCTGAAAATAGCAGTGACAACATCACGACAGCTACAGTTGATTGGATGGTTTAAAAATATCTTCCCTTCTCATTTTTTAATGACGAAGCTACACAAGTATATTTTCGATAAATATGCTCAAATATGGTGTTTCCTAAAAGGTCCACACTTAGAAGGAAGGTCAAAGAACGGTTTGAAGAGCTTCAATTGAATCTTAAGAAACGATTACAACAATTTTCATCTAAAATGTCATTTACCATTGATGGATGGACGTCAATTGCTGGTAGGAGTTACTACGGGGTCACTATTCATTGTATAGACACCGAATGGAAGTATCGATCTGTAGTTCTTGATTTTATACCATCACGCGCTCGGCATATTGGGGAAGATATTGCAACGATTTTCCACGAATGTTTATTGGAATATGACATAATTGATAAAATACAGGGTATTACGGTCGACAACGCAACTGCAAATACCAAATGTATGTATGAATTGGACAAACAGCTGCCACACTTTGATTCAGACAATCAACATTTCCGGTGCTTTGCTCACATTTTAAACCTTGGTGTACAATATTTATTAAAGACCTTAGCATTACACAGTGAAACTGACAATAAGGGACAAGAACAGCAGTATGAAGATAATGAAGACGAAACTGAGGAAGATGAAGAATATGCGCCAAATATTGCTGACTCATGTACAGCTATTACAAAATTACGCAGTATTTCCAGTAAAATAAAAAGAAGTGAGATATTGAAGAGAAAGTTTCAGTCTGCTTGTGAAGCAGCTGGCGTGCCATCAAATCTGAACACCATACTCAACTGTCCAACGAGATGGAATTCCACACATGATATGATTGGATTTGGTTTAAAAGTGAGAACTGGCATTAACATATTGTGCACTTCTGTCACCGAATTGAATGATTTTCAAATCACAGATAGTGAATGGCAAATACTCGAAAAAATACATAAGTTTCTAATAAACTTTAAACTTCTATCAACGAAACTTGGTGGAGAAAAATATGTTACATTACCGTTAGTCATTGTATCATTCAATCTCTTGCTCGATAAAATTGAATCCATGGTAAAACAATTAGATGAGAAACCTAATCGATCCGAAGTGGATGAAAGGCTCATTCTGAGTTTTCAAGCAGCTCGAGACAAAATGCTTAAACATTATAAAAAGAGTAACTGGATTTATTGTACCTCTTTAATTTTAGACCCAAGGCATAAGACTCAGACTTTTGACATGACATTATGGGAGAAGCAAATTAAAACAGAAAGCCTGCGCAAATTTAATGAACTTTATAAAGAATATAAAAGTCTACACTCAGTGAATACATCTCTAGAATCACCAAGAAATGAAAAGAAAGTATGTGAACATGGTGAAGATGAAGACGTAATAGTCTTTGAGAAATTGTATGCATGTCCCTCGACGTCATCTGGATCTGGATCTTTTCGTCAAGGCTTAGTTATAGACGAGTTGGAGGAGTACCTAAGTAAACCCAGAGCCGCCAGTTTGAAAGACATTTTAGAGTGGTGGAGGACGCATGAGACAGAATATCCGACTTTATCGAAGATGGCCCGTGATTTTCTTTCAATACCTGCAACTTCAGTACCTGCTGAGAGATTATTTTCTAAAGCATCATTAGTAATTAGAAAACATAGAAAAGGTTAAGTGATGAGTCAGCCAGATGGTTACTTTGTATTAATTCTTGGTTAAAAGAATTAATATAAAGTAACAGTAATGTCAAAGCTGTCGTGTACTGTTATGTAATTTAATTTGTATTGTATTTTATTTTTTTATTTAAATAAATGGTAAATTGTATAACTCTTTTATTCCATTTCATATAAGGGTCTATCAATCTCTTTCTAGACAGATAATGTTCTTTATAATACAGTCAAGTTAATGTCATTAATTTGTTTTTTATATGTTTTGACTAAGTTTTAGCACATGTAAGCTTATTAAATGTAAACGTTTATTAAGAAACAGACTAACTCCCGTGGCCGTGAGACTTGGTAGACAGCTCAGTTGGTTAGAGCATCGGCACGGATCGCTTAGGTCGTGGGTTCAACCCCCACCCGGTATTAGTTGATTTTTCGAATTTCTCATTAAATGTTTAGACATTTATTAATTTGGTTGGTCTTTCTATGGCTATGTTAATTCAAGCTCAAAATGTGCCTACTCTGTTAAATTGTTCTAAGATCTAAAGTAACGTTTAATAAATTACAACAGGCTAATAGGTAATTGCGAGACTTGCGAGACTCTTGCTGCAAGATCAAAACCAAGAACAAGACCAGGTGTATTGGCGCAAGACCAAGACCAAGACTGGTTAAGTCTCGTCTTGTTCTTGCATTTGGGCAACACTAAATATAAGTTAAGTATCCTGATACCTAGATCTTTTATATGTTTAACACTCGTTTGGGTCTGATTATTTAGATGATAACTATAAGCTTTAGAGTTTCGTTTTCGTGAGAAAGACATATCGAAACATTAAGTGACATTAATTGTATATGACAATTATTTTCCTTGTGAGGCATTTATGAAGAGGACTATGGATAGCAGTGAACTTTGATAGGCTCTATTGGATGAAAAAAGTGTACGACGAAATTTAAGACGACACCACAACACGTAAGCTGCCTAGAATCTTAACAGAGCTTAGCTCTCAAATCTAAAATGATAGTATATTCATAGGTATATTATTATTTTTACATACTATATATTATTATGTGCTGTAAATGAACCAAAAATGAGTACATTGATGTTTTATTGTTAACTTGGATAAAAAACATTATTTTGAGTTGATTTTTGAATTTTCCCAGCAAAAGTACCATTATGTAAGCGTTAAAAAGAAGAAAATATAGATACTATAGGATTGAGCTCGTTGGATCTTAAAGTTAATTGGATATTCAGATACAATTATAGAAATATTTTCTTGTTATCTCGAATGAATTTTAATAAAAAGACTATATTTGAATTTACGTGACGTTTATTGTAAAAGGAAACAAAAGATCGGCTTAGTTTGTCTGGGGCGCGTTTCCACTATTGTTTTAATTAAACTATAATAGAGCCAAAGCGCAACTGTTAGAAGCTTAAGCGAATCTGTACCTCTCTTTGTCTCCCCCCGACATCATGTCTGACATTTCCTAACATCTGAGCGGTTTGCGTTATCGATTGTATTTGTGAATATAAACCAGAATACCGTGACCTCTTTTTCCAGAGAAAACTTCCCCTTGTACAACGCAAGTTAAGTACGGGGTAGGGAGGGTGGAGATCATATTATATCGGTCAAAATGGTAGCTTACACGCAAATTACGCACACAAAGAGGCGCCATCGCGCAGGCGCGGAACTTCCACCCCACCCAAGGACTAGCATATACGCGGTCAAAGCCGGCAAATTCTTACACCCCAGCGGTGACGTCCCAAGCGCAACAACTAGTTCAAAAATCCTTAAAATTAAAATAAGATTAAAAAAAATAATTAAAAAATAGCTGAAATGTCTGTATGTATATCGCTTTAATTGTTGCTTAGTGTAATTAGAGTAGATAAAGTGTATCAAGAACGTAAAACCGAAAAGGAAAATGGCGAAATTGAATTCGCAATTTTCGTTTTAAAAATAGATTTTCTTTTTTTTTTTAAATAAGAGCTTTCCCGTGTAGTGAGGAATCGGTTTTCGGTGTAGACGCTCGAATCGGTTCGCGAGTGCAAGGACACCGTAAGATCGATATTCGCCGGCAATGTTAGCTATTTGAGTCCGGCATTTCGCTGGGGGTAGTTCAACGCTGCTGAGGCTCCGCGACTGCTGTTCATGTCAACGGAAAAAGAGGAGTAGATTGACGTCTGTTGACGAGATGACCACGGAAACGGCTACGCCGAACCAGGTATGTATATAAAATAATATGGAATAGTCGCCGCGCGTACCGGCAGGCTCTTTGTATGTCAAGGACATCCTCGGATTTTTCTTTATGTTACGTAACAATTTTTATATAATTTTTTATTTATAATTTTTCCACAAAATTTAACGAAAAGAAATTGATTATATATACTATAATTTTTGCTTTCTTTTATTATCTGTTTGTCAATTCTTACTGTACTTAAACCAGTATTTGTATAATAAAAAAAACAACTCGCGATACAGCTAGAGCTATATAATTTTTAAACTACAAAATTGATTTCTTACATTTTTATAATTCAATGTATTAAAAGTGATAGTTAATCACAATTGTGGTTCAGTTGAACAATGGCAACTAAACGAGTATGACATATTTTGTGTTTAATACTGTGCTATTTTAGAAAAATTGTTTCGTTATAAGTAAATGGTTGTATTTTCCTTTTCCTAGCCAAATATATTTGATATAAACCAAGGTGACCTTGCAAAGGAAATTTCATATTTGTTTAAATTAGAACCGAGCTTTGAATGTGTATTAAAAAAAAGTAACCGAGAACAAGAGGATTTGAGGATTTAGCCATTTTTTTTTGTCTGTGTTGTCTGTGTTCATATAATATTTCTATTTTTAAATATACTTTGTCTATCAAGGATATTCAATGACGATTGGATTCCACTTGGTCCTGTAGATGACGTAGGATTAAACTACGGAAATGCTAGTGCTAGCAGCACCTTCAAGACTTGTTGTTCATCGATCTTAATTCTGGCTGCAAAGTGTGACAAAAACGGTATATCTTTCTTAACTGTAAATCCATTTCAAGCAGTTGAATTTTACAGGCAGATAAACAAGGAGAAGAAGATTAAACTACATGCTTTTCTTAAAAATTCATGTCAGAGGTAATAATCTTCGGCTAGATTTGATGTGTTTTGGTAAAAGTTAAAATAGCTTTAAATAAAAATTTTCTCTATGGAAAGTAATTTTACACGTGATAGAGCCATGTTGCAGCTTTATAGTTGTAGCACGAATGGGTCGGCTCAACCGGGGAAGGGCCACGCTCTCCCAGAATACCAGCGTAAAATAGCTGTTTAATACTGTTGTGTTTCGTATAGTGAGTTTAGAGATCCGGAGACACTTTTTTACTGGTTTCGAGACATTCCATCTTAGTTCTCAGGGGTGAAAACGCATCTGCGTTTTGATTCTTAATCGAGGATAAATATAGATGTCTATGAGGCACAGCATCCACTTACTATCAGAGGGACTGTGTACTCGTTTGTCAGTCACCCTTATTCTATAAAAAATGCGCATCTGAACTAGCAGCTTAATATTGCTAAATATATATATATATATATATATATATATATATATATATATATATATATATATATATATATATATATATATATATATATATAAGCGATTAAATACGTTTTTGCTTCTTTTTGGAATTTTGCCAGCATTAGTACTTCTGTCTAAATACGATGTGGATGTATTCAAAATAAATGAATATCTAGAGAACTTGACTTTTTTTGAAGACTTGGCTTTTAATCTGATGTCATCGTGGTCAAGCATTAGCTTATCTTTATATATATATATATATATATATCCATAAAGGAAGGAATGAATCCTCCTTGCGACATGACTTTCCTTCCAGGAGCACATAGTTATAATTACTATAATAAATGAGATGATAACTTTATAGAAATTTTAGCTATAGGTGAAAATATGATAAGTAGTAAAATCTTAATTATGTTTGTATATTTTTTTATTACGACCTATAAAGGATGAATGGGTTGACCGAGGAAGGACCATGCTCGCATAGCATACCAGCGTAAAATAGCATCTTAATGCGCCTTTGTTTCGTTTGTTGAGTGTAGAGAACCAGAAACCCGATTTACTGCATCTTATTCCTAAGGAGTTACAACGCATTAGCATTTTAATTCTTAACTATTTATTATTATATTCTTAACATTGACATCTAGTCAATGTCTATGGGCCACAACATTCACTTACCATGAGGTGATACAGTCCACCTCATAGTAAGTGGATGTTTTGGTTCATAAACATCTACATCTATCCTCAATTAAGAATGAAAATGCAGATGTGTTGCCAACCCTGAGGACTAAGATGAAATGCCTCGTATCCAGTAAAAAAAATGTCTCCAGTTCTCTACACTCACCATACGAAACACAACAGCATTGAGCTTCTATTTGCCGCTGGTATTCTGTAAGAGCGTGGTTCTTCCCCGGTCGAGCCGACGCATTCCTGCTGCAACCATAATATAGCTGCAGTATGGCTCTACCACGTAGAAAAGGAGATAGAATTGAAAAGGGGCAGATTGAGTGGGAGAAGAAGAATGCGAGCGTCCGTATGCAAAATATTACAAAGGGCTACGTTTTAGTTGTACAGCGGCCATGGGCCACTTCATGATAATTACATGATTTGGCCTAAATTGACATTCTCGTTTAATTACCCTTTATTTTTAAAATAAAATGAATAAATAGTTGCAAGAGAGTCTAGAAAGAAAAGTTACTTCATTATTTCATTTCTAGAAATGAGTAGATCTAGATCTTGAAAAACAAATAAACGTTGAGTTTTAATCTCGTTTGCTATTTGTAAAAGATTTGTAGCGACACTAATGTAATTAACCACCCCTGAACTGTATCTGAAGAAAAGCAACGTTAAACATGGCCTATCTCTTCTATTTATTGAGGGTTAAACTCAAAGTTACATAATGTGTGCCTGGCTGTTTCGTTTATGTCTTATTTTGGAGCTAGCGATAAAAATAATATTAATAAATACGATTTAAAGTTTTTTTTTTTAAATAAAGTGTAGTGTTATGCTTACATACATACTTACATATCATTTTACACTATTTTATTTTTATTTTTCCATTCTGTTTTTGATTTTCTACATTCACCTCAAAACTGGATATTTTGCATCACCTTTATTTCCATAGGATCCTGTAATATTTTTAATTCATAAGAACACAATAACAAATCATTTTCACTTCGTATTTTCACGTTATCAGCACTTTTTAAATCGGTGTCAATGGAGTCTACCTTTTTCGATCTTTTATTTAGTTCTCCGTAACTCTACAATTTCGGGTTTCGTGCGCGCTCTTGCGCTACCTTTTTTCCTATATAAATAATATCTCATTTTTCACTTAAATCTTGCCGTTTCTGTATTACGAGCTTAAAACCAAAATTTGACATGTTTTGACATCGTTGTTTATCTGGTTGTCGTGGCAATTTTTATTCAAATATTGTTACCGGCCTGATGTTTTTACTTCAAAAAATACTCTTTTCTTCTTGGCCATTTACAAAAATTTGCTTTTAATTTAAATAATTTCAAATAATTTCTCGTTCTTATCCCAGATCCGTCAAAAAGCATAAAAAGCCGAAGAATCGGCCGATAGAGGTCCTCACTTCAGCTTTGATACGAGAAGCACCTCTTAAAGGCTTTATCCGCACTGCCTCGGGATCTTGCAAGCCTTCTCCTGAAGTCGTCGCCTAGCCACGCCTACGCCTCCACCTATTAGTGCCCGCGCTATCTTCGGCCGCTGAGCGTGCTTGTCTCAAGCGCTGCGTGTTCCTACTCCAGACGCTGCGTGTCTACTCCGGACGCTGTGTGTGTCTACTCCGGACGTTGTGTTTGCCTACTTCAAGCGCCACGTGTACCTACTCCAGACGCTGCGTGTCTACTCCGGGTGCTGCGTGTATCGGCTCCGGGCGTTGCGTGTGCCTACTCCAAGCGCTGCGTGTACCTTCTCCAGACGCTGCATGTGCTTTCTCCAGATTCTGCGTGTACCTAGAGCAGGCGCTGTGCACCTATCATAGGCATAGCCTGTGCATACTTCGTTGCAGTATCTTTATTTTTGTTATTTTTTTTTTAATAATATTGTAAATCACTATCATCATTACAGCCCATCATCACCTTCATACCTTTTTTTATAAAAGAAACTGTAAATCTTTTCAAATTTTTAAATAATTTATTTTATTTTTGGTTGTTTTGTTGTAGTTAGGTTAGGTTATTTAGTTTTTTAATTGTCGCTTCACGACAAAAGTTGAAGCGATAAAAAAATTACAGTATACGTGGATATTGATGATGTCGAATATACTGTAACGGTTATTAAAGTTCACTGCTAAACATAAGCTTTTCCCATAGCTTAGCTCATAGAGAGGTTATTTGCCATAGTTACCACGATTCACGTCTGAGCCACGTCAAGCGGTTTGGCAACCGCAGTCTTATATTTTTAGTCGTTATTCGGAAGACGCTGGTGTCCATTTCCTGATCTGTTTCCCTCACTTGACACACGGGTTAATGTTGCCATACACAAAATAGCCAGAACTTTTACGAGCATCAAAGATGCCTCCGCCTGCCAACCGATGTGATTACGGTATATCCTCTCCTACGTAGATAAGTAACAAGCATAATGAAAACATCCGACTGCGAGTAAAGTTGAAACGGAAAATTTATAATATAAATTTTTCTTTTTTCAACTAACTTTTTTCAAATAAAGCACTTTCACAACTAACGACACCACATATGTTCATATCCATCAAACTGACTTTAGACCACAGAGCGTGGCAAAGAAACAGACATACATACATACATTCATACACTCGAAAAATATTACCGTTATTCTGAGGCAGTTGGGTAAAATGGTCAAATAGTTAAAGTTTCTGAAGATCGCTGGTCGCGGTTTCACATCACATCGATTGGTTAATATAGATGTGGAAGCGAAAATAAATTATTGAAGAAAAAAATTTTTGGTGTACCTATATCGAAATTTTGCACTATAGATGTGGTTTTATTTACGTAACCTTTGCATAACTGGATTGTATAGAAATACGAGCGCTTACTCGTAAGGGAAGAATTTGTCGTCCCATTAGCGTTTGCCCTTGACACCGCGCAATATCGCATTGCCTGTATGGCTTCTAGCAAACTTGCAATCCCCAGCTTACAGTTTAAATCGCGGCGTAAACAAGACACAG